TTACCCTCCACTCTTCCCATCCCTTATTCATTCCATGTAACACTTTCATTGTGTGAACCAACTAATTTTGTTTACATCTATTCACTATTTACTATATTTGCAATACACATATGTTACTCCAATCACATCCAATTTTTATTCAATTGTCATAGAAAATGTATTAAAAAAAAAAATGAGGTAATTAAATGTTATTTATCGATGGACAGTTTCGATAATTCAACTATGCGTAGAAAGAAAACGGTGACCCGGAAGTCTTTGGTTTTGTGGTACGCTGCCGAGTTTAACCGGTGGTCCAAGGATCGATAACGCGGTTGAGCAATACTGCGTCGATCTCCAGATCGATCGGATACTCGCGAACGATTCATCATTCCTCGGAGATATACATATACGTCGGAATGCGAGAAGAATTCTTCTGCGTTATACAGGCTGTCCTAAGAGTTATAATACAACTGACAAAGTAGTGATTCTACATTCTAAGTGCAATAATAATTCGGGAAAGAAGGATAACATTTTTTTATTTAAAGATTAATTTTCGAGAAAAGCGAGTTTGGAAGCCCGTCAGACACTCAACTGAAAATTTCATAATCTGAAGGGTTCCAAACTCATTTTTTCCGTAAACCAATGAGTCTTAAGTGAAAAAATGATATTCTTTTATTTAAATTATTTTTGCATATAAAGTCATCACCTAGTTGGTTGTACCACGATTTCTGGAACAGCCTGTATTATTGCGTGGCAGACGGCTTTACGCGAGGTCAGATCTCGACGAAAAAAAAGAAAGGAACGTTATCCGTGATAAATATAATTATATCGCATTGCTCCCGACGCTTCGTTATAGCTAATGTTGCACGATAAAATCATGGAATTCTTGTAGTGTAACGCCGCGCCGTAAGCCTTGGTCAATTGCAATACGCCCATATTCGCTTCTTATATCATTTTCCCTGTATGCGCTTTACACTTGAAGAATCGCACACGAAGAATTATAGTAAATCATAATAACACGACTACTATTTAGATTCGTTCCCATTTAATGGCGATTGAATAGCCATTGAGGCGTGTTAAATAAATAAACTTATTTATTGATGGTATTAATTTGTTTTTTGATACATTGTTATGTAAGGACAATCATTTATTGTAATTTTTCTGAAAATAGGTAACAAGATTATTTCATTCACTTGCTTGAGCAAGTTTGAATGTTGGTGTATAAACATAGACTTAATGGTTTACCAGTGTGCAACTGATTAATTAAGCTCGTTCCTGCATTTCCCAAATGCAATTAAAATTATCCAGTTAATTAAGATGTAATCGTATTAGGAAAACTAGGAACGTTCGTCTGATGTAACCAGTTTTGCTTATGTATGTATACGATGTATATGTATACATAATACATATCTCTGCGCAATTTTTTGCACCGCGAAAGGAAGCCAGATTACTGTAAAGAGAAGACTTGTTTGCTTAGAATTACGCTGACGGCTGTAACAAGGTAATGATAATAATTTCTGTCACGCTTGAATTGCCTAGCTATTATCGGGATATTTTTGAACTATCGAGTGTGCACTGATAACATCCTTGTCTTGCAAATTTCATGCATTTCAAGAATTAAAATTCGATAATCTATACTATTTTTTGTACACTTTTTTTGGTTTCACAATATTGTAACTTTCTATTTGCCTCTAGCAGTATTTCTGTACCAAGCAAATACAGTACACTGTGATATACGCTAATGACCACAATATTTTATACTGGCCAATTATTTTACACATGTTTTCAGCTAGTATGTTTTCTATTACTCAATTTCTCAAAGTTGAATTTATTAGCAGCTTGCGTAACCGTGGAATAACTGTTAAAAAAGGATTATATGAATTGTTTCAGTGTAAAATCAACGGTCATCAATCATTAGTTTTTCTCTCTAGCACTTTTTTTAACGATATAGTGTTCACCGCGCTGTACGGTAATTTTTCATTTTGTGATAGGGGCACGTGCTCATATCTTATGTATAGATTGTCCAGCTCGAACATTGTTGCTCCAGAAAATATACATGTAATAGCATGTGTGTTTAGTATTCATTTCGCATATAAGATCTAAGAGCGATAAAATTAGTTTTACAATTCAACTATCAATATTTCATAATTCTCTTTAAAAATTAGACAAATATGTATCATGATTTTTTAGTTGTAATAGTAAAGTATATAAATATATTAAAAACGGTATTCTCGGTACAGCCGAGGAACATTATCGTAATTGAAAACCGTCTGTTTTATAAAAGTTTTAAACAACTACTTGTCTCCCTCACTGTCCGTCATTTAATAAAAACTACGTAAATCCATAAAGTAACAGGGAGGAGAATAAATTCAAAAGTGAACCAAATTTTCGGCAGGCTCACCCCAGCGTTTCTTACGAAACGTACGAAGTAAAGATTCAAATGGACGGCAAAGCTCATACACTACATGAAATAGTTCATACGTAAATCTTGTACTATTATTAGTGTATTATATCCACATTATGTAATTATTATAACTTCGTTCTCGTGCTCGGGTTCCGCAGCACGTATAACCCCTGGAAGCAAGAGTCTATTATTTTCGTGGTTTCGATAAAAGACATCTTGATCTGTGATAAGGTAGAAATGCACGGCTTGTTGCACAGGTTTTATCACCGCCGGGATTGTAACAATAATGATCGATCAAATCGACAATGGAGAAAGTTTGGCGGGTGCGGGTGAAGGAATCACGCGAGAAGTTCACCTTCAACGGGATAACCGTAGTTCAATGTAGTTTCCGGTTCTTACCTCTTGGTATCCCACGTATTTCTTCAAGGTAATCCACGAGATTCCTTTGTGATTTTGTGTCGAACGTAGCGAGGAACGTCTGTTCCATGTTTGTAGATTTTGTGGAAAGCACGTGTAAGATTAGTCGACGCATTCAATTTTATAATAGTAGCGGAAGAATTAAAACCTTAGTTTTATACCCACAGATGTGGAGATACCGTGAGAAAATCGTCGCTTAATCTCGGTATAATTCATACGCAACAGTTGTTTCTTCCTAGCTAAGTACGAAGCAAAGGATTTTGATAAACGTAAAATGTTAATGAGTTACAAAAAGAGTTCAAGAATGTCGTTCTCAGTCAGTGAATGAAAACAATTCTCTTCTCATTGTTGTAGATACCAATTACCACGAAATTTCCCAATATTTTCACAAAGGACGTTGCGTACACTTTTGTATTGTATAATAACAAGAAAATGTTGCAAAGATTTCTTTGATGATTAAAAATGAGCAATGGCGGGTTTAACGAGATATCACCGAAGAATGCTTATTGTATCAACATATAATTAAATTGGTTTTAGAATATAGAGCATGACTTTTAGCAATTTATTTCATAGGTAAATCAAACGATAAATTAATAATAAGTTATATGACAGATACTTATAGTTGCTAATCGTGAGCTTACAAAAGAACTATAATTAATCTTAATTGAGTGGACCTAATATTGTAGAAGGTTTAAGCCGTTCGCAGCATACGTAGATGTCGGATACGATCTGATTCACATTACTTTCCTGAGCACACAATTCTTGGCGAATAAACACTTAGCAAATTATAGGTATTCATTTACACTGGTTAAGACCAACGACAAAACAGTCTGCCGCGCGCGCGTGCAATACATATTATCTTTCTCCAACATTTTATGCTGAGAATCACGCTTGAAAGCGAGGTGCCACTGATAACAATGCATAGATGATGTGTACTTAATTTAGCGAATGAAAAGAATTACACTGGAAACCGAGTTGTATTGTTTGCAAACGTTGCACCGTGTTCCGTTGACGAATGTACATGCGTTATTTACATCAAGATTGTCCGAGGGTATTCCGTTGCTCCAGGTACACGTTCCGCAGGAAGTGTCGACATGATTGTGACCTGGTTATGCGTTCGAGAAATCGTACGGGTGGATCGTAAATCTGCTTGCAGGAAATTGCATGCACCGTTCTCGTTGTCGTATTATAGAATCTCGTACAAATAGATAAGTACAATGTAAATTGAATACGTACAGTAATATTGTCATCGTGTATCAACTCAAATGAATCATAATTTATTCATATGCAAAAGTGCAAAGATATTCCATTTTACTTTACGGTGACATTTTGTCATTATAAAAATTGTGTTTTTCGTTTTATGTGTATCTATTTAATAAAATCAATGCACTTTATGGAATAGACTTTTCGTGACTGACACAATGAGCACAAACACAATTTCGAGGATGTGCTTATCACTCTTCAAATACAGGAAAGCTCAACGATCGTTCGTTATAGCAGATCATTCACAGAAATGCATTTTAATCGCCACTGAATAATTATAAAAGTCTAATTATTGTTGTCATTACTTCGTGAGAGTGAACTTTAATTAATGCGAAAGTCTGTCAAACCGAAATAAGGTTCAAGTATGAAAAATTGATATGTGAATTTCTCTGAACTGAACACGGAGAAATAAATTCCTTATTTTTCTCAGTAATTTTAGTTTTCTAGTCAATTTTACTTTCACGTCATGTTCTGCGGTGATTTTGTTTAACCACTGTGTATAGAAAACGAAAGGATTTTAACAATGACCGCAAAACATTGGATCTCTAGAACGCTAAGGTGAAAGGCGCGACAAACGTCGTTAGTTTTGCAAAAAGAAATTTTAAAAGGTGAATGTTGATTGAGGCTAGAGATCAGAGCTGGTGAGACCGGAGTTGGTGACAAGATGACAGTGATATGGTGTACGTTCTCAGCTGCTAATGAGTTTAAAGCATGCGTCTAGATCACATTTCCAGTCGCTCTTATATACCTAATCATTTTAAGACTCAGTTATTTGACAACAAGTCTCGCTTATTTTTAGTCGTTTGCTATAATTAAGCGAATGTTTTCTTAGATCTGTGAAACGTTTTAGAAAAACACGTCTGCTTTGAAAATTAATCACTCAATGACATTGATAATTAACATTTATAAAATATATTTTATTTAAATAGTACTTTTTTTTTAATACAGAGTAAGAAGACATGTGATCCAAAATCTAAAAATAATAGTAGGATATTAAACGAATCGTTTCTTTCAACAATTATCAACAATTAGAAAGTTAGAACAGCGCGCTGGAACAGTTATTTACGCGTAGTTTGCTCGTTTCTGTCTGAACAGCACGTAACAATATGAATTCGGTAGATGAGGTGCGGCCACGCGACGATTATCGAATTAGAGGAAAGCGAAGAAAGTTAATCCATTATTTGGTCAATATAGGTAACAACGCTGATTTCGCTTTCGTTCCATTGCCGAACATGTTGTGACTAGTAAGACATTCCTTTCGACTTGCTTCACGTGTCGCGAATTACTGAGCTAAATGTAAATTATCAGAATTGTAAATTATCAGAACTGAAAATTAGGTAAATGGTAAAAATATTACTGCATTCAAATCGGAGAAAACTTCAACAATTTAATAAAAAGACAATTCGTTCTTTTAATTTATATCAATGGTTTGATTTCCTGTTTTAGAGAACAATTTTAACTACAATACCTTACAACGTTAAAAACATTAAATATGCGAACATGTAATATATCTTATACGTGTATTATTACGTATAATTAGATACAATCGTACGCAACCATTGATTTGTGTGACAAGAAATTAATGACGAATGAACTTGCAACACAAGATTCATAATACTTTTAACGCTACAGTGCTACTATTCTAACAGATAATCTTATTTCTCCGGTCTTTGCTGCCCACGTAGGATTTGCATTTTGATTATTCTATTGGCTCCTACACAAATGGCAACACACAAACACATTTCGTGCCGTAGTTAAACATCCTTTATAAGGCTATCTAAATTACATCGTCAATCTAATTGTAAGTAACCAGTCTGATCGATTATCGTCTAATCTGTTCGGTTACCGTTTAAAAACCCTTTATCGATTGGCTTTCCGGGTCATTTCTCGTCGACGAGGGCTACGGAACTGATAAGAATCGCGATCGGTAAACGACATCGATCTATAAACCATCGGAAAAATCGAGAAAACGACGATTCCGAAAGGTGGACAGGCAGGTTCCGTGAGGCACGTAGGGCTTACCGTATGTTCTGTTCCCTCAGTTCCGTGCAATTATAAATAGAATCGTCGCGACGGCGTGGAACCATAAATTGCCGCTTTGTGACTTAACGTGCGCGTTACGCATTTATCGGCAAAACGATCTATGCATCCACTACGTATATAGCTGTCATAGATCGCGATCGAAAGCCCCTGGTGCGAGGTTCATGGTTAGGGCGCAGCTCGCGCTGCAATTAGACTGGATCGACGTTGAGTGGGACGAGTTTCGATTATGCGTTAGGATAATTCGGTCGTTGACACCGCCTGTTTCAATGACAAATTACCACTTGAATAATTACACTGGAATAAAGTTCAGGATATGATTATTGCTTACAAATGAAAATAAAGTGTTGCACTAATTGAAAGTTTAAATGCCTTTCCACTGTAACATTGATGTAACTTGATAGGAATTATAGATAATCCTACTCTGGCATTAAGATGCTTTTTACTTACAAAGAAGTGATTTAAACTAATGGAATGTATTATAAGAGCAAAGAATGTCGAATATCTGTGTAATCAGGTGAACAGAAATTTCCATGAAAGTTCCACTATGAAAGAGTAACAAAAGAATTGGTCGTTGGGCGATCCATCGATCGTCGGAACCTCGATCATTCCGCATCGTAGAGAATCGAGACTCGTCCGCGATACTCGCTGCATCTAACACAGCGACAAGATAACACGACGCTAAGCAATGTCACTGACAGCGGACACTTTTTGCCTGGCCGCTTCCCTATGTCGACGTATAAATCCTGCGAGGCGCGATCGTTATTTCAGCAGGCTGCACTGGCTTCTTTGTTTTGCTCTCATCCTCGCTGGTGTCGATTTTGATTCTTTCACAACTCGCTGCATCCTCGTAGTCCTCGCGTGTAGTCACGTCCAGCCAGCCTGGCTGCCATGCTCCGATAGTTTGTATCAATGACAGTCGTTAGGCGTCCTCGTTTCTTTTGAAAGATTTATCGACGCCACGTCGTGGCTCGAAACTTATTTGTCTAGGTCAAACTGCTGATAATTCGCATCGTACAGTGTCACTGGTTAACGGTGGTTTTTAATTATGTCGATCATCAGCTCTAATCCAGACAGGAACGCGAGCTGTCACTCGATAAAGAGTGATTCGCCCGGCGAGATTCAATTTTATCTCGACTGGTACGCAGACCTAATTACACGAGATCTTCCATTCCCCTACGTTTCTAGTGGGATTATTAATAAATATGAGTAGGATCGTCGCCCGACATTCCGCTGTCTCGAATAACAGTGATTCTTCGGCTCCAATTATGACAAATTACACGCGTATGATTGTTATATTTATTCAGTCCCCATGATGCCTCTTCGTTTCGAGCGAAGCAAACAAAGAAGTCGAGGAAATCGTAGTCAGTGGGTGGCGTCTGTTTCGTGACGTCGACGTTTACGATGGATACAGCCTTCGGTCCGCGGGATAATCATCAGGGTCGCCTTCGCACACAGAATCACCTGGAGGTCGAAGGCAACTGTGCAAATTGGTCTGCACGGTCTCTCTCGTAGACCCTTCGAACCCAACGCTTGACTCGTTCTCTTGGGAAATACTCTCCGTCGATCTATAAATATTAATCGTTTCCAAGACAGATAACGACATTTACATGATATCAGTCTTTCTCTAGAAAAAGCAATGTGCTAATTCTTTACTAATTGTACAGTTATTCTAATAACACAAAAATTTATTAAATTTCTCATCTTCATTTTTATAGTATTTCACATAAAATGATATAGAAGGTTTAGGAGGAATTTGCATGAAGTCTTAAAAGTAACTCACTACTTTTGAACTTTCTTCCGGGCAGTACGGTAATAGGTAACAAGAGCATTGTTACATAAATTTATAAGCGCAAGCAACAATCAGTGCCCATTAACAGACCTGACTTTCTCTTTACCGTTCTTTCAATTTCATCCACTTTTCCTCGTTACTCATTCCCTTTCTGTTTATGGCTTTATGCAAATATGCTGCAACAAAATTTCGCAATTAATTTCGTAACAAAAACTCAATTAACCAATCTTAGAATCATGACAAAACAGTCGACCCAACACTTACACAATGAAATAATGATTAATTGAGACAGAATTTATGTAATAATCAGTGGAAACAAGAAACATGTGGCTTGTAATTACAATTTCTCCGTTGATGATTAATTTTCTCATAACTATGTATTTTACACACAGACTCCTAATACACATATGTATATACTAAACTGTGAGCTTGAGGCAGATTAAATTATTACCATCGTGAGGATGGTAGCCATTTGTTAATAAGTACAAATATTTCTGTATCAACAATGTTCCACTTTCCAGGCATATGAG